TGACAAGGGGCCTTGACTCAGGACCCTTTGGCTAAGAAACCTGCAATAGGCATGAGATGAAGTGCTGATGGAAAAGAAGGTATCAGTCTGTGCCTGTAAGAAAGAGAGCTAGTTAGAATGGCGATCATTAAAAAATCTGGAGACAGCAGATGCTGGAGAGGATGTGGAGAAATAGGAACACTTTTACACTGTTGGTGGGAGTGTAAATTAGTCCAACCATTATGGAAGACAGTGTGGCAATTCCTCAAGGACCTAGAAATAGAAATTCCATTTGACCCAGCAATCCCATTACTGGGCATATATCCAAAGGATTATAAATCGTTCTACTATAAGGACACATGCACACGAATGTTCATTGTAGCACAGTTTACAATAGCAAAGACCTGGAACCAACCAAAATGCCCATCAATGATAGACTGGACAGGGAAAATGTGGCACATATACACCATGGAATATTATGCAGCCATCAAAAACGATCAGTTCATGTCCTCTGTGGGGACATGGATGAACCTGGAAACCATCATTCTCAGCAAACTGACACAAGAACAGAAAATCAAACACCGCATGTTCTCACTCATAGGTGGGTGTTGAACAATGAGAACACATGGACACAGGGAGGGGAGCATCACACACTGAGGTCTGTCAGGGGGAAATAAGGGAGGGACAGCGGGGGATGGGGAGTTGGGGAGAGATAGCATGGGGAGAAATGCCAGATATAGGTGAAGGGGAGGAAGGTAGCAAATCACACTGCCATGTATGTACCTATGCAACAATTTTGCATGTTCTTCACATGTACCCCCAAACCTAAAATGCAATTAAAAAAAAAAGAGCTAGAGAGAGGACGGAGGTAGGGCAAAGAGGCCAAGCACCTTTGTCAGCACTCAGCAAGAGCAGGTTTCTCTGGAGTGGAGAGCACACTGGGTTTCTGGGAGGGCAGGTACTCACATGGGATTTTGGGGAGTTAGTGTTTTTAAAACATTCTTCTTTGCTTATACCACCCAAGCTGGGCTCATAAGAGGGCAAAGTACTGGGAAATGACCCATTGGACCTGTAGTTCTCAAAATCTCATGACATACTGTTAGGACACTGTAGACAAATCCACCTAAATAGTTTCTGACCTGTGTCTCATGTTGATTGGTGATTTCAAATGCCAGAGAGGGTGAAGGAAGAACGTGGGTATAAAGGTGGTTATTTACCTGTAAGGAAGAGCTCTCAGTGAATTAGAAACAGCTAGTAATGGCAGATATAGAAACAACATTAGAGATTAAAAAATAAAAACTAAAAATAAACATTATTATATTTTAAAATATAAGAAATGTGCTTTTATTAAAGTACAGATAAACAAAAAGAAGGAAATAAAAACACCCACGTTAAAGAGTGAAATTTAAAGGGGTAAGAAACATGTTACACTTTTCAGATCTTTGTATTTTATGATACACATGTGTACACATATATAATATATACTATATACACACACATTTTAGAACATAAATGAGGTCATATAATACATATTGTTATAGAATTTGCTTTTCTACTTAGTACATTATTATAAGCATCTTTCCCTGCCAATAAATATTCATTTACTTTTTCGTTTCGAAAGCTTGAAGAGGATGTCATTGTATAGATGTGCAAAATTAACCAAATCTCTACTTTTTTTCTGAGTCAGAGTTTTGACCCAGGCTGGAGTGCAGTGGACGATCTCGGTTCATTGCAACCTCTACTTCCCAGGTTCAAGAGATTCTCCTGCCTCAGCCTCTTGAGTAGCTGGCACTACAGGTGTGCGCCACCACACCCAGCTAATTTTTGTATTTTAAGTAGATAGGGTTTCACCATGTTGGCCAGTCTGGTGTTGAACTCCTGGCCTTCCAAAGTGCTGGGGATTACAGGTGTGAGCCACAGTGCCCAGCTTTTTTTTTTTTTTTTTTTTTTTAAGACAGGATCTTTCTCTGTCTTCCATGCTGGAGTGAAGTGTTATAATCATAGTTCACTGTAGCCTCAAACTCCTGGGCTCAAGCAATCCTCCTGCCTTAGCCTCCTGAGTAACTCTGACTAGAGGTACATGCCACCTGGGTAATTAAAAAAATTTTTTTTTTTTTTTTTGGGATGGAGTTTCGCTCTTGTTACCCAGGCTGGAGTGCAATGGCGTGATCTCGGCTCACCACAACCTCTGCCTCCTGAGTTCGGGCAATTCTCCTGCCTCAGCCTCCTGAGTAGCTGGGATTACGGGCACGCGCCACCATGCCCAGCTAATTTTTTGCTTTTTTAGTAGAGATGGGGTTTCACCATGTTGACCAGGATGGTCTCGATCTCTTGACCTCATGATCCGCCCGCCTCGGCCTCCCAAAGTGCTGGGATTACAGGCTTGAGCCACCGCGCCCGGCCTTAAAAAATTTTTTTTTATAAAGATGAAGTCTCGTTATGTTGCCCAGCTAGGTCTTTTTTTTTTTTTTTAGACAGAGTCTTGCTCTGTCTTGCCCAGGCTGGAGTGCAGTGGCACAGTCGTGGCTCACTGCAGCCTCTTCCTCCTGGGTTCAAGTGATTCTCCTGTCTCAGCCTCCCAAGTAGCTGGAACTACAGGCATGTGCCACCACATCCAGCTAGTTTTGTATTTTTATAAAGATAGGGTTTCACCATGTTGGCCAGGCTGGTCTTGAACTCCAGACCCCAGGTGATCTGCCTACCTTGGACTCCCAAAGTGCTGGAATTACAAGTGTAAGCCACCGTGCCTGCCTGATCTCTACAGTTGAATTGTTTCTAGTTTTTCATCGTTAAAAGCAATGAAATTATTACCTTATTGAAATTTAGAGTGTTTACTATTATATATGCTAAATATTATGCTCTTTATTTTTTTTTTTTGTTGCTATTCGAAGTCATCAAAACACTTTTAGCTCCTGTTGGTAGGCAAGGCATGGGCCAAAACAACTAAAGATAAAGGAGCAGCTGGATTTAATCTGCAAGCAGCTCAACTGATGCTGTGAAAAGGGCTTGGGCTGCCTATCAGTAAAAGAACAATAAACAAAGATGTAAGAAAAGGTAACCGATTTTTACTAATTTAACAAATGTAAAGACACTTGGATTTTTAAAAACTGTCTTTATTTTCAGTCTAGTTCACAGTTTTTAAAGAAGATGTAGCCAATTCTTACTATTCTAAAAGTAGAAACCACAGGCGAGTGTATGAATGTTTTCTCATTCCTTTCTACTTCTGCGGTGGAAGCCCAAGTGCTGTATCTGTTATTGGAATTACCTCCTAATCCTCCGCAAGTGGCAGCTTCCAGGGAAGCAAGCAACGGTTGTGGGAAAAACTTTAAAATCTCTAAAACTTAAGCTGAAATTTAAATTTATTTTAAAAGATTAGCAACAAAAAACATGCATCGGTTGTTCTCAACCTAGATACAGTCCAAGAAGCTCTACAATTGCACTGTGTAAAATAGTTGCCACCGGCCACAGGTGACTGTTGAGCATTTGAAATGTGAGCAGGACAACGGAAGCACTGAATTTTTAATATTATTTACTTTTAGCTAATTTATATTTAAAAAGTGAAGCAGCATATTTTTCCTGTAATAAACTATGATTCTGGTAGGACTACATTTCACTTTAACCACTGCAGCATCAGATATTATATTGTCTTGCATGTTTTTGGTGTCTGTGTTGTTTCTAACGTTACATGTAAACACACAGTCGAGTAGGTGGGATTCAGTTCAAATTATTATTTTCTATGCATTGATGTGACACAAGAATGTGTTTATTTGAATACTGCATGCAGGCAGCATGACTTAAAGTGATACACGTATAAATTGAAATACTCAGTATTTCAATTAAACTTTTTTCTTTTCTTTTCTTTCTTTCTTTTTTCTTTTTTTGAAATGGAGTTTCACTCTTGTTGCCCAGGCTGGAGTGCAATGGTGTGATCTTGGCTCACCGCAACCTCCGCCTCCCAGGTTCAAGCGATTCTCCTGCCTCAGCCTCCTGAGTACTGGGATTACTGGCATGCACCACCATGCCCGGCTAATTTTGTATTTTTAGTAGAGATGGGGTTTCTTCATGTTGGTCAGGCCGGTCTCGAACTCCCGACCTCAGGTGATCCTCCTGTCTCAGCCTCCCAAAGTGCTGGGATTACAGGCATGAGCCATCACACCTGGCCTAATTAAACTTTTTTTTCCTACTTAAAAATGAATATGAATGAATTTTAGATTTAAAATGAAGGCATGCTACTAATGGAGAATCAAATGGAGATGTAGACATTGTACAGCAGTAAAGAAAACAAGAGACTGGAAGAAGGTATGTTGCCAGTTTCACAATGAGTAGCAATTGCAATTTGCTGTGGCAGAGCTGTTTGTTGTATAATTCTTTCCTAAGACAATAAAGTGGACAATATTAAGACACATTTTCAGCAAATACATACTGAATTTTGGTAAGAAGTTTCCTCTAAACAGTAAAATAGTTGATAAGAGAAGTCATCTGAAATTAGAATTAAATGTCCAATAAAATATTTTACATACACACACACACACACACACACACACACACCATTTAGCTGGAAAAATGGTAAAATAAATTATGAGTTTAAGTTATGGAAACTGTTAGTAAATTATGAGGCTAGAGAGTAAAACACATATTTTACAGAAGTAAAAGATTTTGTGAATAAAAACTAAAAAATTAAAAAATAAGTCATCAAACAATTGCCTAAACATGAGCTTTCAACAATATAAATGATCAGGTGATTCAAAATTTGAAAAATTACAAGTACTTTTTTTTTCTTTAAGGTGTGCACTTTTATTCAACTGGTCTCAAGTCAGTGTACAGGTAAGCCCTGGCTGCCTCCGCCACTCCCAGGGAGACCAAAAGCCATACATCTCAAGTTGGGGGACAAAAAAGGGGGTCACAAAGGCTGATCATTCAAAATAAAACAAAATAAAAAGTACTACGGCGAAGATAAAAAATTTTTTGCATTTCATAATTTACACGAAAGCAATGCTATCACCTCCCGTGTGGACTCGGAAGAAGACTAGACCGTTCTCCTTAGACAGAAGTGGGTGGATTTTAGGAGGGCAAGGGACTTCCTGTAACAATGCATTTCACAATATTTGGAATGACTATTAAAAAAAGTACAATGTACAATCAAAGTCCTCAGCCACATTGTAGAACTTTGGGGGACTGCTATCACCTTCACCGTTCAGTTTTTAAATCCTGAGTCAAGCCAAAAAACAAACAAACAAGAAAACCCCAAACCAAAACAAATAAAGCCATGCCAATCTCATCTTGTTTTCTGCACAAGTTAGGTTTTGTCAAGAAAGGGTATAATGCAACTAAATCACAGTCTGCCTAGAAGCATTTGCGGTGGATGATAGAGGGGCCGGACTCATCGTACTCCCGCTTGCTGATACACGTCTGCTGGAGAAGCCGCCAATCCGCACAGAGTACTTGCTCTCAGGAGAAGCAATGATCTTGATCTTCATTGTGCTGGGTGCCAGGGCGGGAGTCTCCTTCTACATCCTGTCGGCGATGCCAGGGTACATGATGGTGCTGCCAGAGAGCACTGTGTTGGCGTACAGATCTTTGTAGATGTCCACATCACACTTCATGATGGAGTTGAAGGTAGTTTCCTGGATGCCACAGGATTTCACTCCCAGGAAGGAAGGCTGGAAGGGCGCCTGGGGCAGCGGAACTGTTCGTTGCCAGTGGCGATGACCTGGCCATCGGGCAGCTCCTAGCTCTTCTCCAGGGAGGAGCTGGAGGCCGCCATCACCATCTCCTGCTCGAAGTCCAGGGTGACATAGCACAGCTTCTCCTTGATGTCATGCATGATTTCCCATTCGGTAGTGGTGGTGACGCTCAGTGAGGATCTTCATAAGTAGTCTAGTCAGGTCCCAGCCAGCCAGGTCCAGATGCAGGATGGTGTGAGAGAGGGCATAGCCCTCGTAGATGGGCACAGTGTGGGTGACCCCATCACCGGAGTCCATCATGATGCCAGTGGTACAGCCAGAGGTGTACAGGGGCAGCACAGCCTGGATGGCCACGTACATGGCTGGGGTGTTAAAGGTCTCAAACATGATCTGGGTCATCTTCTCATGGAGTTCAGGGGGCCCTCAGTCAGCAGCACTGGGTGCTCCTCAGGAGCCACACGAAGCTTGTTGTAGGTGTGGTGCCAGATCTTCTCCATGTTGTCCCAGTTGGTGACAATGCCGTGCTGGATAGGGTACTTCAGGGTCAGGATGCCTATCTAGGCCTTGTCACCCACATAGGAGTCCTTTTGACTCATGCCCACCATCACACCTTGGTGCCTGCGGCGCCCCACGGTGGAGGGGAAGACCACCCTGAAGCCGGCCTTGCACATGCCAGAACCGTTTTGTTGACGATGAGCGCGGCGATATCATCATCCGTGGTGAGCTGGCAGCAGGTGTGGACAGGCGGTGGAGCAGTGAGGGGGAGGCTCTGTGCTCCCTGGGTGGACACAGTCTCCATGGTCAAAATTACAAGTGCTTCTCTTTAGCTTCAGATGCTGTGCAACATAAGAGACACTATCCAATTAATTTCTTCAGGTATATTTTGTCTTAATGGGCTTCCACATTTCAAAGAAATGTTGTAAATTTGTGGCTTCACATTAAACTCATGATATCATAATATCTGAATCTTCTACATTTGTCAAAGTTTTCAAGCTAGAATTGAAAGAAAAATATTTTTTACAATGATAGATGATGCTCCAACTGTGTTAGGTTGAAATTGAATTTATTGGAATTTTAAAATAAGTGACTGATATTTCCCTTATATGATATATATTGAAGATATTTGTGCTGCTTGCTGGTACAAACTGTATGAAAGTGTTATGATATAGTTGTTAACATCCTTTTACATGTATGTGCAAATCCTATTAATGATTGGCAGTCTATGGAACTGTTGAAAGAAACCGAAGACAATGAATTAAATGATCTTGTGTTCTTTGGCAATGCTCATTGGTTGAGCTGTGGAAGAACTTTACAGATTCACTGTATTGTCAGTTCCAATTTTCTAGAAATAAAAAGATTATTTACCAAACATTCAATTATTAAAGATAAAAGTAGCAGTGTGATTTACATTTTCTCACTGATATCACACTGATATCACACCGCGTATGAATGTGCTAAGTTTGAAGTTCCAAGGAAAGGGAAAACTTATTTGTGACCTACCTAGACAGATAGAACAATTTATATTGAAATTGAAACTTTTCATAACACAAATCAATAATGATTTTATACGTTTTCTACAGTATGAATTAATATGCAGAATATTTTCATGAAAATTGTCAAAAGTACAAGGAAAATTTGAACACTGTTGATACTGATAAATTTAGAGTTGTATTTCAATGTATTAAATACTTTTAAAATTCGATGTTATTCTTGAGTGGACACAGGGGAGTATGAATTCATTTAACTGAATTTAGTTAAATAAATATAGTTTTGAAATTGAAAATGCTTATGCTTCAAAGTCAAAGCAATTTTTTTTAAAAAAAGAACCAGTTTATCAACGTAAATGTAAATTATATTAGTCACTATTGATGTGGCCACCTGTGCCTGAAAACAGATTGACTCATGGTGTCATTCGAGGCCTTTACGAGATAAGACAACAGCTGGATTCACTGTCTAAGTTCCTGAAAGAGAACAGAGACCAACCAGGATCAATACATTCCTGAGCCTGGCTTAAGAGAGATTGCCACGTGCTATAATTCAGGGGAAAAATTAATTTGGAGGTTTCTATCTCCCTTAGCTAACTTTTCCATACTCTTGTTTTGTCTGGATTCATGCCAGATTCAGGATATTTATGTTAAGGATGTCTTGTGGTTTAAAAAAGCAATTATTGGATCAAGTCAGAAGATCTGGATGAGAGGTCCTGGCTAATTACACAGTCTCTTTCAGTTTTCTGGTCTGGATTGGATCAGTTGATCTATAAGAAATCTGCTAGAGCCAAGGTTTTGTGTTTCTAACTTGTTCTGATAGTAGCTGAGACACAAATCCCAAACTATGTAAAACTCAATTAAAATCTCAACTCCATTCTAAGAACAAGATTTGAAATGCTACCATTTTCTTTCTTCATCAGAGAAAGAAGAATGTGGAATAATATGCTTATATTATTTTCTATTTACTGGGAGTCACTATTACATTGTTTTTATAAAAGCTGCTTGATATTTTCGCCTTATCAAAATGATAGTAAGAAGGAAGATTTAGGAATGCTGTTATATTTCTAATCTTGCTCTTTAATTGTAAGTGTGGGACCCTAAAAATGGAAGGCTGTATGTGTAATAGCATTATAGAGAAAACGACCAAGGAATCATATTTCTTTCTCTCACTCACTGTTATATTAGTCTGAACTAACTTCTAGTGGTGTTAGAAGTGAAAACTAGCCCTCTAGGGTAGATAATTTTTATGCTAATTTCATGCACCTCAGTGTAGACAATTACTATAGGGCATGTGAATGATCCATTCACGGAATGAAGAAAAATTATTCCAAATTATTATTGATGAGTTAATCAAGATAACCATGTAAAGTTTCTTTATCCATTAGTGGTAACATCTACAGTATTTCACAATCATCATAATAAAAGAGCCAAATGCTAATGGGCAAGGTAATCAGACTTTAATGAAGAAGAGTGAAAAATCTGCTTTTAAAAATAGTTTACAGTTTTCATAATCACTGAAGTGGTCAGTGAGTCCCAAGATTCCTCATATTTCATAATGTGTGTTTGCAAATTTTTTTCATCACTTAAAAAATAGTCGAATTTTTCCAATGTAAAAAAGAATAGAAATAAATGGAGAGGGATTCATTTTTAAAAATAAATACATATTCAAAAAGCTATTCATATTGCAATGGTGACTTAAAATGGGGGAATCTCTGCATTTAAAAACGCGCAACTACTGTTTTATGTTTTTTCTCCCATCTTTATCCTTTTACTCAAATTTTGTAATTTTATTAATACAAGCTCAGATAAGTGTGGACTCCCAATTTTATTACGCTCATTCATCACACCTGCTGCAGCAGGGAGGCCTAGCTGGGGCGGCACCTTCCATGGAGCCAGTGGGAACTCTGCCCCTTCTGAGTTGGGGCAGGAGCTCCGGAGGTGCTGCTGCAGCCGCTCAAAGCATGTCTGCAGACTCAGGCCTCTTGCTCTACAGAGCAAACAAGAGCTCCGCCCTCCTGGGTGGGGCCACAGCCACCCAAGCTACTGGAGTGGATCTGAGGCGGGCCCAGGAGCAGGCAGCCTCCGGAACTAGTAGTTCGGAGGTGCAGCTGCTGCCCCCGGAACTGTGGCCGCAGACCTGGGCCTTCCGCTCCAGGGGGCAGGCAGAAGTTGGGACAAACAGGAACCCGGCCCCTTCTGAGTTGGCGGGGCAGGAGCTCCCCTGAGCACCCGCAGACGCCCTCCCAGACAGAGGACCTGGGCCTCTCTGCGGCCTGCATCCTTGCTGGCAGGAAGCGTCAATTAAGCAGAAGCATTCTTCTATGCTCTTAAAACTAGTTGTGGGTTAAATGAAAAAGTCAACTAGAACAACAAAAAAGGTAACTGTGAGGTGATGGTGTGTTACTTAGCTTGATTGTGGTAATCATTTCACAATGTAAATGCATATCAAAGCATCACATTTACACCTTTAATACGTACAATTTTTATTTATCAATTATATATCAGTAAAGCGGAAAAAAAGAGCGATAAATAATACATGCATATACCGCTTTAGCCAATATTTTTACATTGTTAAATCTTAAATTTTGGAGGGCACATAGTAGATGTATGTATTTATGGGGTACATGACATATTTTGATACAGGCATAAGAATCATCACATCAGGGTGAGTGGGGTACTCATCACCTCGGGCACTTATCCTTTCTTTGTGTTAGAAACAATCCAATTTTACTAGTATTTTTAAGTAATAATTATATTTGACTGTAGTCACCCTGTTATGACTAGATCAGATACTAGATCTTATTCGTTCTAACTATATTTTTGTACCCGTTAACCATTCACACTCCCCGGCATTGCCTACCACTTTTCCCAGCTTCTGGTAACCATCATTCTGTTCTCTCTGTGAGTTAAATTACTTTACTTTTTCGCTTTCACAGATAAGTAAGAACATGCAATGTTTGTCTTTCTGTGCTTATTTCACTTAACATATGATTTCTGGTTCCATCCATGTTGTTGCAAATAACAGGAATGCATTCTTTTTTATGGTTGAATAGTATTCCATTATGTATTATATACCACGTTGTTTTTATCTGTCTTTTGAGGACACTTAGGTTGCTTTCAAATCTTGGCTGTTGTTAATAGTACTGATATAAACACATGGGAGTGCAGATATCTCTCCAATTTTTTTTTTTTTCTGGAGACAGAGTTTTGCTCTTCTTGTTCAGGCTGGAGTGCAGTGGCACAATCTCAGCTTACTGCAACCTCCACCTCCTGGGTTCAAGCGATTCTCCTGCCTCAGCCTCCTGAGTAGCTGGGATTACAGGCATGCATTATCATGCCCAGATCATTTTGTATTTTTAGTAGAGATGGAGTTTCTCCATGTTGGTCAGGTTGGTGAACTCCCGACCTCAGGTGATCCACCTGCCTCGGCCTCCCAAAGTGCTGGGATTACAGGCGTGAGCCACCGAACTCGGCCGGCATCTCTTCAATATTCTGATTTCCATTCTTTGGGGTATATACCTAGCAGAGGGATTGCTGGATCATATGGTAGCTCTATTTTTAGTTTTTTGAGGAGCATCCAAACTGTTCTCCATAGTGGTTGTGCTAATTTACATTCCCACTAATAGTGTACAGGTACCCTTTTCTCAGCATCCTTGCCAGCATTTGCCTGTCTTTTAGATAAAAGCCATTTTAACAGGGGTGAGAGAATGTCTCATTATAGTTTTGATTTGCATTTCTCTGACGATCAGTAATATTGAGCACCTTTTCATATGCCTGTTTACCATTTGTCTTCTTTTGAGAAATGTCTATTCGAATCTTTCGTACATTTTAGAAATCAGATTATTAGATTTTTTTCCTATAGAGTCATTTGAGTTCCTCACATATTCTGGTTATTAATCCCTTGTCAGATAGTTCGCAAATATTTTCTCCCACTCTGGTTGTCTCTTCATTGTGTTGATTGTTTCCTTTGCTGTGCAGGAGCTTTTAGCTTGATGTGATTAGCCAATCTTTTATGCAGAGCCTCGGCCTTGTTGGTGAAAAGAAATACTTTACAGAGTTTGTAAAGTTTACAAACTGTAAAATATTTGAACTCTGTAAAGTATTTAAAGACGTTTACTCTGAGCCAAATATGAGTTACTATGGCCCAAGACATAGTCTCAAGATGTCCTGAGAATGCGTGCCTG